ATTTAAAAAAGCTATGTACATTTATAAGGCATATTAATTCATGTGTGTGTTCTCCTGGCTAAATTCAATTTAGATTTGTAATTAGTGTACATATTATGTTTTACAAAATGTATTTTAATTTATAACTGTGCTATAATTTATTATATGTAACTTCTGTATACCATTGTATTGACGAAGGTTTATCAGAATAAAGATATATATAGTGTAAATTCTTTTACTATTTCAATCAAGGTTAAACAGTAACAATTTCCGACAATGGGGTATGTGGGAAACAAAGATATAAATATTAAACTTCTCCAAGATTTGAAAATGGATGTTAAAAAATGTAATGAAAAAGAAAGATAAAGACTTATTAATCTGGTAAGAAGTTTTTGATTTTATGGTAAAAAAAAATGACATTAAGGAGTAAAGAATATAATGTTTTATAATTATTGTATAATAAGACTTTAACTTTTAATTATTTTCTTTTCAAATCATAGCCTAACTTTGATAAAAGAATTGGAAAAAACAGTTTTTATTTGACAAAATATTGGAAAATCAGAAACTAACTGTTCAGGAAACTGTTTTATGAGTTGTAAAATGAGAACACAATTGTTGAATAAAGCAGAAACATATCTAGTAATATAACCAACTTTTTAATATAATCAACAATGGCATAGTCGAATTTACTTTTTAATATAACCAACAATGGCATACTCGACTTTAATTTTTAGTATAATCAACAATATGGCATACTCGAGTTTACTTTTTGTTAAAATCAACAATGGCATACTCGAGTTATCTTTCTTCATGAATACGCAAGAACTATATGCTTCTCAACATTTAGTTTGAGAGTATAACAAAATTGTTATAAGTTCTTTCATTAAAGTCACAATATACAGAAAATATAAAAATAAGATGTGGTATGATTGCCAATGAGACAGCTCTCCACCAGAGACCAAATGACATAGAAGTTATTAACTACAGGTCACCGTACGACCTTCAACAATGAGCAAAACCCATACCGCATAGTCAGCTAAAATGACAAATGTTAAACAATTCAAACTAGAAAACTAACGGCCTGATTTTATATACAAAAAGCTTAATGGATATCCCTTTAAAAATTATATATGATTTCTCTGGCACTGGCTAACCTGTCATAAGGTCAATAATAGTTTTTGAAAATATATATAAAATGTATTTAAAGACAACTTTTTAACTCTAAAATATTGGACAAGGGTTTCCCACAGCTGGATGGACGGAATGACAAATAGATGAACGAAAATACGACAGGACAAATATATGGACGAGCTGGGTGGACGGAATGACAAATAGATGAACGAAAAAAAGACAGGACAAACATATGGACGAAAAACGACAGGACAAACAGACGCGATGACTATACTAAATGTATGTATACATTTTCATTTGTAAGGGAACATACTAATGTGCTAGATATATAAAGACTAATATATACACACTTCAAAAACAACAACATACATACAACATACATACCTTAATATATCACGTGTAATATTAAGGTATTATATGATTATTTTCTTAAATAATAGCATAAGATGGTATTGCCACAGATACAAATAAGAATGCCACAGATAAAACTGAACATAGCTGACACCTTACTGTCGCAAATCTTAGCGAAAGGTCGTACGACATAATCGGTCAAGCGAACTTTATAAGATCACCTTGTACGGGACGATCATTGTCATTGGTAAATTCCAACCTGTGAACTCAAATATAGAGTTGAGTCGCAAACTTCCTTGCGCAATGCTGCTTTTTACTGACACTATCTTCTTTTTCCTTAGGGTGTCAATTTCGTTGCAAATTTGGTCGTATGTATTGTAGCATGTGGAAGACACGGCCATAATAACATGATATTTAATACAAGTATCTTCATTGTCATGTATCATAAGCAGTTCATTATATCTTATGAATACTATATAGATAAGTGCATGCTATTGAAGCTGGATAGCCGATTGATGTGTCCATCGGTAATTATCTATCGTTTTGGGCTAATAAGTACTAATGATAGTTGTTATAATTTTATAAATGTTCTCAAGTGTGAAAGTAAGAGTTTGCCTTGATGTTTTGTACAAAATTTGCTTCTGATGTTACTCTGCTACTATTTTGTATTTTATTAAGTAGTGATGATCTCCATACCATACATTCACATTTAATTTAATTTTTAAAGAGATAAAAAAGATTCCTTGTGGTATATTAACAATATAGGTAAAACGCAACTCATCATGATATTTTATCATCATCATCCTAATCCATGTCGTTCTTTCTTTATCCCCTTTTCTCTTTTCAGTATATTATAGTAATATTTATGTTGATTATATTATATAATGCATGCTCATATTCAATTTGTATTGTTATATATTATCATATATTGTATTTTAACTTCATAAGTATGTTTTACTTGTGTCTGATCAAAGATCCTTTTTGCTTTGAGCGAATAAAATATGATCAAATAAACAAACAAACAAACAAACAAATTACTACAACTATTTATCATTTAAGGAAACTTTCCTGTGAGAGGATAAGTTTTCCAATAATTCTCCAAGTTTCTGCAGTATGAAAATATCTTCAGAAAACATAAGCCAAATAAATTGTGATTTAATATCTAACCTACTAAAATTTTTAAAACCGTTGTTTAGTTCATTTAAAAAGTTAAGACGAATATTTGAAAGTTTATGGCACTGAAGAAGAAAATGAATTTTATCCTCAACCTCAGTACCACACAATTTACAGATACGTTCTGATACTGTCAGATTTTTGTACCTTCCCCTCTCAATCTCCAAATCGTGAGCACTGATACGGAATTTTGTTAAGTTATTTCTGTATTTAAAATTTCCCTGTAAAAAGTAATTTTCTAAGCAAAATCTGCTTTTAAAAAGCCTGTAAGTTGTCAGCTTGTTCCCATATAGTTTATTGCCTCTGAAATCATTATTAAGCTCAGTATGCCATATTAAATCATATTTTGATTGCATCTTCTTGCATAAATAGTTTTTTTTTAACTTTGTTTTTAAATTAAGTGCATAATTTTCATTGATGCTAAAGTATTTAAATAAAGTTTGAATACTTGTATACCAGCTCTTTTTCTCTCGAGCTTTTTCTGCTCATCATGTGGAAACTTTGAAAGGTTGAAAGCCTCTTTTAATAATAAATCATCAGCTTTTTTTAAACGTACAAATATATGTATAAACTAAACGAAACATTTAATTATAAAAGAAGAAGAATATATACGTGATAATTATTTCTTCTTTTTAAAGTTTCGTATAATTACTCCACTAAATGGACACAACGTTCAGTTTAATTTTGCAACGGCGAATTTTGAAAAAAGAAACACCTCAACAACCGATTTTCTCAATAGTCAGTGCTAATATTGTTATAGACTGGAAGGTTTGAAAGAAGGATTATTATTTGATGCATTCATATGTTGTAAACAATTACATATTTCTAATGCAAATACATGGTACTCTAGTATAGATTATATTCAGAGAGAGATTGAATTGCCAAATTTTGACCAATCAATTGGTTCTTTATGTTAGATAAAAAATAAACTATGTGAAAGTTATTTAACATTTTGGAATAGACTGAAGTATCAAACAATTAACTCTGAAAAAGGGAAGCTTGGTACTTATTTTTCTATAAAAAATTGTTTTAAAAAAGAAAAATATTTAGAACTACAGGATTTTAAAAAAAGACAGTCAATTTGTAAATTAAAAATAAGCGCTCACTCTTTAAAAATTGAGACAGACAGATATTCAAAAAAATATATAGAAAGATCTGAGCGTCTTTGTTCAAATTGCTCACTTGGTAAAGTTGAAGACGAGCTTCATTTTTTGTTAGAATGCCCTCTTTATGATATTCAAAGGGAAGATTTTTTTCAATATATTTCTAACAATTGTTATAATTTTAAAAATTTAAATAAATCTTCTAAATTTTTATGGCTCTTGACCCAAGAAAATGTAACTCTTATGGAAAAACTGGGCTGTTATATTTGTGACTGTTTTGAATTAAGAAGATCAGGTATGAATATTGACACTAAGTCAATTAAATGATTTGAGAATGAATGCATATAATGTAATTTTATTCTTTTATTCACAATATATATGTGGTTTTTGGCTCTGATTCTGACCAATGCTAATATACTAAATATATATTTACAAGTGACTATTATTGTTGTTGTTACCAATTATGTAAATCAATTGTATCTGATTTTATGCCCTCTATGGGCCCTGTAATTTGGGAAATAAAAATATTCTATTCTATTTTTCATTCAAGAGGTCATTTGACTATGAAAATTATTTAGATTTAAAGCACCCCCAAATACATTTTTTAACAAAATACAGACTCAGCAATCACTGTTTAAGAATAGAAACTGGCAGACATGAACGTTTTATCAATGTATGTGGTAAATATGAAATATTACCTCGACATGAGAGGATATGTTTATATTGTAATTCAAATTCTATTGAAAATGAAATGCACTTTCTTCTGGAATGCCCTCTTTACAATAACCTCAGAAGAGATATATGACTGATTATATCAAAAAATACCCCAGTTTAGTTAATTTAAACAGAAATGATCTTTTTACATGGATCATGAGTAATGAAGATAGCAGTTTTTTATCTATTGTATGTGCATACCTTGATAAAGGCCTGCAACTTAGAAAATCAGAAAATTAGTTTTAAAAATACTCTAATAGATAGCAAAATTATCTCCCCTTGACCACTGACCCTTTCCTCATGCATAAATTTGAACTATTATTTTATGTTTCTTTAATCACTCTGTAATGTCTATGTCATGTTGTTATTAATGTTAATATGCTCTTAATGGGCACTTTAATTTGGAAAAATAAAAATATTGTATTGTATTGTATTGTATTGTATTGTATTGTATTGTATTGTATTGTATTGTATTGTATTGTATTGTATTCTATTCTATTCTTAAAATAGGCAACCAATGAAACTGCTTAAGTGCTATCACATGACTAATCATGATTCATTAAAAAGACTATTTTGAGAAAATACAACCACATCATTCCTTGACATAATGGATAATATACTCATTTTGTTAACAATTGGGTTATATCTTTACCTGACAACCGCACAATTAGATAACGGGTAAGTTTTTAACGAGTTATTATAATAATGTGATCGCAGTTGACACGTGTCCCTTACAAGTTACATGTTTACACACAGCGGTCGGTTTCAAAAATGTGTATGGGTCGGTAATGTGTGGCGGTACAGAGGTCTCAGGCAGAGGTATACATGTTAGATAGTGCAGTCTAAGTATATATTTTCGACTGTTCATAGGCATTTATTCTACATTGAACATGGAAAACCCCGTTACTATTTTTAGAAAGCAAAAACAAACACTCCTTTTACATGTTTTCGTTACGTTCATAAAGGTATTTATAAGTCTACCTTTTCACTTGTAATGTAAATCAAATAGGGCCCCCAATTTAAGGTGCTCTCCTCCTTTTTCTATTTAGTTTATCTGGAAGGTTCTACTGCTTGACTAGAGTATAGAAGATCATAGAAACTATATCATCCCTTAATCCAAATATTTATGACGTCTTGATACTAGGCTATTAATTTTTGCTGTGACGCCTCCCTATTTGGACTTTATTATCCCTTTATAATTAACTTATCCCGTCCGGCAGTAAAACACTAGGTAAAGTATGGCATTCGTTTGACAATGCGAGATGTATAAATACACAGCCATGTTCGTCCAGATAAATCCGGTACCACTCTCTTTGAACTTGGAAAGAATCTTGCAACAAATGTCTGAGGGGTCCGCAGGTGACCTGTTGCGGGTAGATTTCTATCCATATTCAATTTGCCCTAATTTTTCTAGGCAGTCCAAATCACTGTGACAACTAGGGACTGGCGGTTACCAGATTAAAAAATTTTAATAAATGTTTAGAAAAAAAATGTAATTCCTGTCTTTTTTGTATTGTTTTATTACCAGATTCAAGCTAGCGACCAATTACAGCGACCAATCAAGCTAGCGACCAATCAAGCTAGCGACCAATTCTATCGACCACTAAAGTTAGCAATGAGAATCAACTTGTCAAAGAATCATAATGCGGTATGTGTGAAAACCACAAAATCCCATCATAAAAAAACGTTCAGTGAAAAAGAAATTCTAGCTACCAGTATGGTATATATTGTTTTTTAACGTTTAAATGACCAGATATGTCCAGCATTTGAAGGGAAAGTAGGACACATCAACACCAATGACGTCTGTAGCTGAATACACTGACTAGCTTGCTTGCTAAATGCTGGCATATTGAATTAATGAGTAAAGAAATATATACTTTCTATTAAAAAAAAAACATACCAGCAATTCGAAAACAGTCTAAACATCTTAATAAAGCCCGTGTCAGATGTATGATGTTTGATGAAATTCGGTATATGTCTATTATTAAAACATTCTTTGTTAACGAACTATTTTTATTCCGCTGCATCCAAACACATACTAAATATTATCATACATGTATTTATATAAATGAAAGTGCGCTCCCTCCCCGAATTTTACACCATCGGGAAAGGGACAAGTTGGGAAAATAACCAAATGTTAACGTCTTCTTTACGTTTTTGTGTTTTTCTAAACTCTAAACCTATCATATTGTAAACTTGTATCAATTCTTGCAAATAAAATATTAAAGACGTCTATCTCTTAGCAACAATGGCTATATAATAGTACATGGCGGATCAGACATGAGAATAAAAAGTAAACAAATTGAATTAAAAAAAAACAAGAATATTTGTCCATGATGATTTGCTCGCACAATCATTTTCCATATTCAGTGAACCGTAAAACTTGTGTGAAAATGCTAATTTTGGCATTCAAACGAACGAACACACAGACCACTGTTATCATGCGCTTTACTATATCGTAGGTCGAGCATAAAAATATATATTTAATGTAAGTTGACTTAAACTTGTTCCTTAGTACAACGTATATGCTTTCAAATAAACGAAATAAGAAAAATACTATGTGCGATAGAATTACTATATACTGGCTTTCCATACACTCAGCATCCTTAAATATCCTGTATGTTTTAGAAAAGGAACGTTAATTGTCTACTTCCTATACTAAAATTGAAAACATATAGATGAATAAGCTGTAAGAGTGTATTTCATGCCGATACCAAGTACTTTCAAATGAAGCTGTACGTGCACTATTTTGTACGGCATGCACCCATACTTGAAAGAAATTTATCTGCAGGAAAAAAGACTTCTGATTAAAAGTACACTTTGAACAGCAACTTTGAACCCCTACAATTCTCGAATGGGCCTAACTCCCAAAAAATCATTTCATAGGGTCCTTCCCTAAGTTATTAGTCCCCTACCGACGAAGTCGAAGGGGACTTTAGGTTTGCACTCTGTCTGTCTGTCTGTCTGTCCATCCGTCCGTCCGGCAAATCAGTTTTCCACACTTTTTTTCTTCATGCTTGAAGATATTGATTTGATATTTGGTGTATTGTTTTATCATGACAAGTTACAGATCAAGTTCAAATTTTGTTCCGGTTTGATGATTTTGTGCAGAGTAATGGTCCTTTGACTTAGTAAATTCACAAAAATAATCAGTTTTCCGCACTTTTTTTCGTCATGCTTGAAGATATTGATTTGAAAATTGGTATATAGTTTTATCATGTCAAGTTACAGATCAAGTTTGAATTTTGTTCCGGTCTGATGATTTTGTGCAGAGTTATGGTCCTTGGACTTAGAAAATTCACTTAAATAATCAGTTTTCAACACTGTTTTTCGTCATGCTTGAACATATTGACTTGATATTTCTTATATAGTTTACACCATGAAAAGTTATAGATCAAGTTAGAATTTTGTTCCAATACAATGAATTTTTAACCGGTAGGGGACTATGTATTGCCATGCAATACTCACAGAATGCTTGTTACCTTTCATTTGAGCCATGTCCGGTTAGGAACTTTGCCGTACGTAGGCCCATTCGGGAATTGTAGAGGTTCAAAGTTGCTGTTAAAAAAGTAATTACGTGTCCACCCTACACTCTTTCGGTAAGCCTCGCCAGCTCCGTACGGCAAAGTTCCTTACCGGACATGGCTCAAATGAAAGGTAATAACTTAGGGAAGGGCCCACTGAAATGATTTTTTGGGAGTTAGGCCCATTCGGGAATTGTATGGGTTCAAAATTGCTGTTCAAAGTGTACTTTTGTTTTTAATCAGAAGTCTTTTTTTCCTGTCGATACATTTCTTTCAAGTAAGGATGCATGCCGTACAAAAAAGTGCACGTGTAATTCCATTTGAAAGTACTTGGTATCGGCATGAAATACACTCTTACAGCTTGTTCTTCTTTATGTTTTCAATTTGAGTATTGAAAGTAGACATTAAAAGTTCCTTTTCTAAAAAATACAGGATATTTGAGGATGCTGAGTGTATTGAGAGCCAGTATACAGTAATTCTATCGCACATAGTATTTTTCTTATTTCGTTTATTTGAAAGCATATACGTTGTACTAAGGAACAAGTTTAAGTCAACTTACATATATTTTTGTATGCTCGACCTACGATATAGTAAAGCGCATGATAACAGTGGTCTGTGTGTTTGTTCATACGTCCGTTCGTCCGTTCTTCCGTTCCTTTATCCGTCTGTCAGTCCATTCATACTGCATTAGATTAACGTTAATAATGAATGTAGTTGTAGATGAACTTGTTGTCAGATCAACTTGAAACTTAGTACACATGTTCATTATAATGTAATCTTTCAAAATTGAATGCCAAAATTAGCATTTTCACACAAGTTTTACGGTTCACTGAATATGGAAAATGATTGTGCGAGCAAATCATCATGGACAAATATTCTTGTTTTTTATGCATTAAGTTTTACCCTTGTCCGTCTGTACGTCCGTCCGTCCGTACGTCCCAAAATTGGTTTCCGTTCTCTTACTTTAGTTTTCCTCAACCAAATGTTATGAAACTTATACACAATGCTTATTACCACATAACACAGATCGAGTTTGCATTTTGGTGGCGTCACTTTTACTGTTCTAGAGTTATGCCCCTTTACAAATAGAAAAATTGCTGAAATTTTCGTTTCCGTTCTCTAACTTTAGTTTGCTTCAACCAAATGTTATCAAACTTAAACACAATGCTTATTACCACAAAACACAGATCAAGTTTGAATTTGGGTAGCGTCACTTTTACCATTCTAGAGTTATGCCCCTTTACAAATGGAAAAATTGCTGAATTTATCGTTTCCGTTCTCTAACTTTATTTTGCCTCAAACAAATGTTATGAAACTTATGTGTAATGCTTATTACCACAAAACACAGATCAAGTTTGAATTTTGGTGGCCTCACTTTTACTGTTATTTAGTTATGCCCCTTTACAAATGGAAAAATTGCTGAATTTGTCGTTTTTGTTTTCTAACTTAAGTTTGCCTCAAGCAAATTTTATGAAACTTATACACAATGCTTATTACAACAAAACTCAGATCAAGTACAAATCTGGTAGAGTCACTTTTACCGTTCTTAGGTAATGTCCCTTTATAACGTTATATGCAAGCGGGGGCATCATCTGTGTCCCATGAACACATACCCCATTTATTTTTAATTCAATTTGTTTACTTTTTATTCTCATGTCTGATCCGCTATGTGCTATTATATAGCCATTGTATGCTTAGGAGATAGACGTCTTTAATATTTTATTTGCAAGAATTGATACAAGTTTACAATATGATTTTGGAAAACACAGAAAACGTAAAGAAGATGTTAAAATATGGTTATTTTCCAACCCGATGGTGTAAAATCCGGGGAGGGGCGCACTTTCATTTATAAAAATACATGTAGGATAATATTGAGTATGTGTTTGGATGCAGCTGAATAAAAATACCCCCCCCCCCCCCCCCGGTAGTTCGTTAACCACGAAAGTATTAATAATAGACATATACCGAATTTCATCAAACATCATTCATCTGACACGGGCTTTATTAAGATGTTTAGACTTTTTTCGAATTGCTGGCACGTTTTTTTTTTTTATAGAAACTATATATTTCTTTATTCATTAATTCAATATGCCGGCATTTAGCAAGCAAGCTAGTCAGTGCATTCAGATACAGACGCCATTGGTGTTGATGTGTTCCACTTTCACTTCAAATGCTGGACATATCTGGTCATTCAAACGTTAAAAAGCAATATATACCGTACTGGTAGCTAGAATTTCTTTTTCACTGAACGTTTTTTCATGATGGGATTTTGTGGTTTTCACACATACCGCATTATGATTCTTTGACAAGTTGATTCTCATTGCTAACTTAAGTGGTCGATAGAATGGGTCGCTAGCTTGATTGGTCGCTAGCTTGAGTCTGGTTACTTTATTAACGCATTTAACGTTGGTATCAATATTTCATAGTTTTCTAGCAATGTTCAGTTTACTATCCATATCGATATTCGTATACTAAAAAATCCTAGTAGAGAGGACAGGAATTACGAAATAAATTTAAAACAACATCGATTAAAATTTTTAAATCTGCTCTCCGAGTCTCTGTGGTCCAAATATCCTATCCATCATCCCGATCGACTTACTTTTTTTATGATTTGTTGATTGTTCTCCTCTTGAATATGCATGGAATGTTTGTCACTTGTCGTGAAGGAAGCAACACCCAATCAATTAGTCAATCTACAATTTATGTCGTGAATTAAACAGATTTTTTATTTCTCGTAAATGTATCGTACTGGAGACTACTTGAATGGATAGTGAATATTCAGTATCAAACTACATAATGTAGGAACAAGGCGGGAGGATTAAAAAATAACTCGGTCTTGGACTTGCATATATCCTTTTTGTTACTAGAAAGATCAGTATTGAGCTTCCTGAACACATGCGTACATACTCTCATATTATTCAATTAATGAAGTGATTTTATTTATGTGATATACCATGTATACGTTTTATTATACCATATGGAAATTTTGATTATACCGTCTATCGTGTCTTTTGGGTTTGCCCTGTAATAAAATATAAACCAATGGAAAAACCTTTGCTCCATTTAAGACAGACTGAAATGATTTTGTCCATACATATTAGTACAAAATTGCTCTGACGTTCATTACCCTTTCTGATTTCTGTCTTCTTCTCTATACTGAGGTGTTACAAACGGTAACTTGTATTTGTATTCCGCATTTATACACTCATTTTCAGAGTTCATAAGTAGTCGAATTGCATTTTCTTCATACAGGATTTACATGAATAAGCGAGCCACGTGATCACTTTGATATATATTTTTTTTTATTTCCAGATTTTTACCAGTTACAATTACGCTATCTATTATAGCGGTAGACGCCCCTCATACAACGAAAGAAATTGAATGTCCACGTTTTCAAAAGGACTGGGAAGTTAAAGCTAAAGAGAAATGTCCGGGAAACAAAAATCATTATCATTGTTTGTATGACAGAAATTGCCGTCTGGTTGAATTTTGTGAAGAGCAGAAAACTAATTATATTTCTGTTTATTTGCGTGATGACAACATATTTCAAAAGCAGGAAAATGTGAACGTTGACTCAAATTCAATGTTTTATTGGTTACTTCAATATCCCGTCTGTAACAGCAAATTCAACACTTCTTATCCATTTGGTAATATTACAGAACAAGTTAGAACAATTGAAGTATGTCGATGGGATTATTATTTAGCTTGGACACTTGTAGACATACTCTTTATTTCAATTGCCATCTATTTGATCTATGTCTATCGTCATCGTTGCTTAAGTATTATACAGTCAACCTACCAATCCTGCTTAAAATACAGATTAGGACAAGATAGCGACAAAAAGGAAAATGTGCATATGATGGAATCCTCTCCTCTGGGTATTCAACCAAGCAGAACAGTTGACAGAAATGGTCCATCCCTAAACCAGACTAACATCATATACACAGAGTGCAATGTTGATGACCAGAACTTGTTCACACTCCAATAATTATAGAACAGATTTAGCAATACTACAAGAAGTGGGTTGTCTGTATATGAGTTCGGGATACTTCTTACGTTCACCGTGAATGCATATGCTTTTACTATAGTATAAGTGAAGGCGTTGTTATCGGGAAATTTCAATTTACAAATTGTAAACCGAGAAAGAAAGTGGTTAATGTTATGTCTTTAATTGTGTTTGTCAAATGTCATTTGAATCTAGAAAGTGTTTTTTAACTTTTATTATTCAAAAAAAAAAAATTTAGAAGACCATTGCAATTTTAAGATTTACACATGTATGAAGTTATATCTGTATTGTTTATATTGTGTGCTTTTTTTTATTATTTATCACAATTTTATCATTTATTACAAATTGAAATATGAAATATGCATTTCCATTCGTTCTGTTCACAAAAGTGTACAGCTACAAATGCTCAATAGTCTAGATTATTATGCCCACCTGTTTCTTATGTGAATTCCTTTTTGTTTTAAGTGTAGTCAGATATGTGTATTTTTATATGTCTCATTTTTTATTTGCATCGGAGATTATAATTATAATATTGTAAAAGCCAAGTATATTTATAAGAACTATTAGAGTTATCCTTCTTTATATAGAAGTTGAACATGTGGACTGACTTGTCTCCTTATGATAGTGCTGTGATTAATCAATTCCAATCAGTATGTTAGTTGTGTGCAAGGATGGATGAAATTCGTTATATTTAATATCTGTATTTGTTATGATACTGCTCCATTGAAAATTGAGACTAGAAGCTATGAAGGTCTTTTTAAAGTTGAAAATAGAATTTTTTTAACATCACTTGTAATGAAAATCTTTTCATTGAAGATGTAAAAACATGTCTCATTGAATTGTCCAGTGTATGAAGATTAGCCTTGTTATTTGTTTTATCAAGAAAATGTTTATTTAATGCATTTGTCTGATGATGATATATTTATATTTTTATTCACAGATGAAAATATGTTCTTTTTATACTGCCAAAATCTGCAATGACATTATGATGAAAAGAAGATGTATTTATATTGCCAATTAAATAGTGTAGATAATGTATATACATTTTTTATAGTGACTCTTGTATTGTATTATAATGTTTTATTAACTATTTGTATGTTTTATAGAATTAAGAGGTACATGTATTTAAAACAGTAAATATTATTCCACTGTATGTAATCATTGACGATCCGACGTGGCATTGAACAAAACTTCAGAGTAAACCTCGATCGACGTTGTTAGAGGGGACGATAACTTTAACCCTTGCTGTGTGTACGTCCGAAATTCCGTAAGTTCCGAATTGGTTTCAGTTCTCTTACTTTAGAGGCCCCTCATGGGTGTGTCCAAGTAATCGCATTATCACATTTTTTTTTGCCAATATGATCACATAAATTAAATCATTAATTATTTTTTTAAACTAGATAATCAAATAATCAAAAATACAGTCCCAGATGAACAAATGATCAAATAATAAATTATGAAATATTTGGTCTGATAATCAAATAATCACTATAAAAGCGGTCAAGTAATCACATAATCAAAAACCCAATGAGGAAGCTCACTTTAATTTGCCTCTATCAAATGTACGAAACTTATTAATATACACACTGCTTATAACAACAAAGCAGAGATCAAGATTTGTAATTTCGGTGACGTCACTTTTATCGTTCTTGAGTTAATATGCTCCTTTACAAATGGAAATATTGCTGATTTTTTTCGTTTCCATTCTCTCACTTTAGTTTGCCTCAAATAAACGTTATGAATCTTCTATACTACCAAAGGAAGAGACCGCTTTCATTGAGCCGCAACTCCTCTGTAACCATACAAAGTCGGAAATATTTTTGATATGACGTATATATGTAGTGTTTTGTACTTCCTAAATTCTTCTTTGAAACAATCTTTTTTCCATAGAAAAGCCAATGGTTTAATTTTATGTTCACGTGATGATGTTTTGTCGTGAGTGACATATCAAATCCTTTCTTTATAATGTTCAAACGTTATAGTATAATATTGTTTACTGGTAATCGTATACACAATTTCGTACATTTACAACATCATTGATATTAAAATCATAAGGTGTTAAAATTTCTAGAGAGCCGTTCAACTTTATAAACAGTTATAGTACTGGACTCTTATTTCGTTCATTCTGTTGAACAAACTCGTCCTTTCTACATTTCGACGTAAATGCTAGTGAAAAAAAATTACCACTAAGACTAAGGAAGGGATAATTGGTATCATCACATCTTTAGACTACCTTTTGCGCTTCAATAATGACAAATACAGTTGAATAAGTATTTAAATCACTTTCCTCCGTAAACCATTTTTTTTAATGCAACTAAAAGGTTTGTAGTGAAAGACAGTATGATTTCGTATCAGCATGGTAAGTGTTTGAGTCTTGTTTAAGTAACTGTGAGCATTCTTTGTCTGTATCATATGTTATTGTTTACTTGTTATCTGCAGAGTAAAGAGTAAATAAGCTGAATTGTGTGTTCACATTATGATGAGAGAGTTCTTTATAATATGATATTTCTAAGTATCGGAGTTTTGTTTTGTTCCCTTGCTGGATTGAACATGTTGAAATGAAACCTGTACATATTAAAGATATAAGTGTATTGATTTGAGGGCCAATAAAACAGTCTACAGTCACTCTGTAGTTAGAATAGAAACTCACGGAAAAGTGTGGTTTCAAAGGCGAATGGTAAGTATATACATTTTGTGTAACTACTATTGTTGGTTTAAATTTGAAACTTTCATTGTATAGATGAAAGTTGTATAGAATGGGAAGCGTCCTATTGATTTTTGATTCCGAAATCAAGGTTAAAGCTGCTAAAAATATAGACTGAGCATATAGAAGTATGAGTTACAATAAGTTGTTTCTATTGGTGTTTGTAGGGGATATATTTCAGTATAGGAGTTTGCTCTTTTTCATTAGATAGATATGTCCTTGAACTTAGTTTTAACCAGATTTTCGAAGGAAAATCAGTTATTGATTTGGGGATGTACAGCGGGCGGGCGGGAGGCAGTCGACTGCCAAACAGTGTCCGATCATTTACAGGAAAACGCTTTCACGAAATTTTCACCACTTTAGCTTTTCCCCTTTTCGAATGTTGGACCCTTTCAGTAATTAGAAAAAATACATATTATGTGATTGAGTAATTACCCTTTGAACAGAAATTAACAAGTTTTTTTGCATAGATAGTATGTAGTTGATTATATCTGTTCAATTGATTAGTCAGGAGTCGTCAAAAATTTCTTTATAACTATTTTTATCCGGATTTTCGAAGGAAATATCGGTTATTAAAATGGTGATATACGGCGGGCGGCTGGGCGTTTCTACGGGCGGCTGCCAAACAGTGTCAGCACAATAACATGAAAACGCTTTAACAATTTTTTTTCAAATTTAAATATGTTGTTTCCTGGGACTTAATGAAGGTCTCTGTTAATTTTCAAGATTTTAGTTTATCTCCTTTGTGAGTTATCGCCATTTTTAATATCCAAAAGTAGAATTTTTAAATATTTTACTGTTGTTATCATGTTATGATTTGTCTTATCTCAGAATAAAAATTGGAGTGACAGATTTATTTGAAAATTATCTATTTCCTAAGTGGTAATGATTATAAGCTATATCATTAGACATTTTGAAGATTATTACATTATTAATTATGTTAGAGTACTATGTTAAACAACCATAGTTCTGTTCAATTAGATATTATAAATATTTCAGCATATGATAATGATTTATTTTCATTATTAATTAGATCTTGGAAATATTTTAGCATATGATAATCATTGGAGTGACAGATTTATTTGAAAATTTTCTGTTTCCTGATAAGATCTGTAGGACTGTATATATAAAGTTTGAAACTTACTAGTAGGACTGTATAAATGAAGTTTGAAATTTACTGTTCATTATTAGACATTTTGTAGATAATTAAGTCTACCTAAACCATATATATTCTTATCCCACCCCCCTTCAATTTGAGAATGTGCTTTTATCTTGTAAACGGTCGAGATCCCCACCCCTTAACCATATATATTCTTGTATGGGACAATAAAACAAATCAAACGAAATATTGGGGGAGTTCCCGGGACCACCCCCATCCCCCTTCTTTTTGAAAACTTGTAAACGGTCAAGATCCCTACCCTGAAACCATATATATTCTTGTATGGGACAATCAGACAAATCAAATGAAATATAAGGCGAGTCCCCTGGGGTCACCCCCACCCCATCCTGTTTGAGAACTTGTAAACGGTCGAGATCCCTACCCCTAAACCATATATATTCTTGTATGGGACAATAACACTTATCAAATGAAATATAGGGGAAGTCCAGGGGGGAAACCCCCACCCCCTCTTCTTTTTGAAAACTTGTAAACGGTCAAGATCCCCACCCTGAAACCATATATATTCTTGTATGGGTCAATAAAACAAATCAAATGAAATATTGGGGAAGTCCATGGGGGTAACCCCCAGCCCCTTCTTTTTGATAACTTGTAAACGGTCGAGATCCCCACCCCTGAACCATATATATTCTTGAATGGGACATTAAAACAAATCAAATGAAATATAAGGCGAGTCCCCTGGGGTCACCCCCACCCCCTCTTCTTTTTGAAAACTTGTAAACGGTCGAGATCCCCACCCTTAAACCATATATATTCTTGTATGGGACAATAACACAAATCACATAAAAATATAGGGGAAGTCCATGGGGGTCACCCCCACCCCCTTCTTTTTGAGAACTTGTAAACGGTCAAGATCCCCACCCCGAATCCATATATATTCTTGTATGGGACAATATATCAAATCAAATGAAATATAGAAGAAGTCCATGGGGGTAACCTCCACCCCCTTTTTTTTGAAAACTGGTTAACGGTCAAGATCCCCACCCCGAAACCATATATTTTCTTGTATGGGACAATAAAACAAATCAAGTGAAATATAAGGCGAGTCCCCTTGGGTCACCCCCATCCCCCTCCTGTTTGAGAACTTGTAAACGGTCGAGATCCTTACCCCTAAACCATATATATTCTTGTATGGGACAATAAAACAAATCAAATGAAATATAGGGGAAGTCCAGGGTGGTCACCCCCACCCCCCTTTTTTTTGAAAACTTGTAAACAGTCAAGATACCCACCCCGAAACCATATATATTCTTGTATGGGACAATAAAACAAATCAAGTGAAATAAAAGGCGAGTCCCCTGGGGTCACCCCACCCCCTCCTGTTTGACAACTTGTAAACGGTCGAGATCCCCACCCCTAATCCATATATATTCTTGTATGGGACAATAAAACAAATCAAATGAAATATAGGGAAAGTCCATGGGGGTAACCCCCACCCCCCTTCTTTTTGATAACTTGTAAACGGTCGAGATCCCCAACCCTAAACCATATATATTTTTGAATGGGACAATAAAACAAATCAAATGAAATTGAGGGAAAGTCCCCTGGGGTAACCCCCACCCCCCTTCTTTTTGAAAACTTGTAAATGGTCAAGATCCCCACCCCCCTTCTTTTTGAAAACTTGTAAATGGTCAAGATCCCCACCCCGAAACGATATATATTCTTGTATGGGACAATAAAACAAATCAAATGAAATATAAGGTGAGTCCCCTTGAGTCACCCCACCCCCTCCTGTTTAAGAACTTGTAAACGGTCGAGCTTTTCATTATTAATAAGATAATACCACATTGAGGTCCAAAGGGTCCTAAATTAAACTTTTGTTTAATTTCATCAAAAATTGAATTCTTTGGTTCTTTGATATTCTGATTCTAACAATGTTTGAGTGTTAAATCATATCTAATTTTAGAGAACTTAGTCATCACTGGTTGTTGTTATTATAGGCCCAGGTTTCAAGTTGATCCAAATCAGGGTCCAAAATTAAACTTTGTTTGATTCAACAAAAATTTAATTCATGGGGTTCTTTGAAATGCTGAATCTAACCATGTATTGAGAGATTTTGGATTGTGGGCTCCTTTATCAAATTGGTCCACATTGAGGTCCAAAGGGTCCTAGATTAAACTTTTGTCTGATTTCATCAAAAATTAAATTCTTGGGGTTCTTTGATATGCTGATTCTAATATGTACTTAGATTTTGGATATTGGACCATAATAGGTATTTAAATGTCCAATTTCAAATATATCAGTTCTTTGGCTACATTCATTTGATGTCACAAACCTATGATGTGTCAAATATTCAATCACAATCCAAATTCAGAGCTGTTTTAAGTTTAAATGTAGTGTCCATACTTGCTCAACTGTTCAGGGTTCGACCTCTGCAGGAAAATCCGGTTTGCGGTCTCTCTGACAGCCTCTTGTTTTTAAGTCATGTGTGTTTTGAAGGTATATGTCACAGTTGTTATGTGGTATTTTATTTTTGTTGTGTGCATTGACCTTTAGATAAATGAAGAGTCTAATTAAAAGTTGGTAACGTATCTGGTCAAAGAAATAGTGACATAGCCTATATAATCTCAAAACTGTGATTTTTTTTTATATGACAAACAACTTAAAATTATATAAGTATGTACTGGCAGAATGGTGATACATCTGAAAATGCAACACAAGTACATGTTTTGCAAGCTTCCTAAGTCGAATACTCAATAGAAAAATACCTATACCATCAGGGACCTTCTTTTTTTTTATCAAAATAATACATTTTTTTGTGTGAGGCTGGAGAAGTTTTGATATTCTTCTACTTGGCAATTAGGTTAGTTTTAGCTAGTCTAGATATCTCCTTGCATTTTCAAAAACATTTTGTTTTTACATTTTAAAGCAGACAAGGCTTAAATTTCTACAGGGACAACAAATGAAGTATTGGACCCGATTTCCTGAGAATGAGTGTATTATTTGTGTTTCTACCGAGGAGGGGTGGATAAACGAATACCGGACCTGCATAGTAAGAAATACGTAATGCATGTAATTCTTTTCAAGCTTTGATTAAAATCAGTATTCTACCTCACAAAATACAGGAAATGATCACTTGTAATTGCACAACTCATTCTAATAAAACAGAAATGCACCGTAACGAAAGTGAAACTAAATATCCGTTGGAAATCCCCTTTTCTATTCAAAACATAGGTGCGTTTTAAAAACTACCTTTAGCTGTCTGTTACTTTTTATGAAAATTCACAATGACTCAGTGGTAAGGGGATTCATTTGGATAATTTATTTTTTACTTATGCATCGGACTTATGCATTATTATAAGGCGATTGCACAGACATTATTAATGATGGGCTGTGGCACAGATTTTAAGCAGAATATTGAAAGATCTATATGTTTAGACGTCAGGAAATCATTTTTTCCCCCCATTATATAGTTAAAGAGTTGTTGCTTTTATTAAACAGCGAATAAAAAGTAATTAATGGCACTCTGTATTTCCTATAAAAATGTAATTAAACTTCCTGTACACATATGTAGCACTCTTTAATTATTAGTATTCAGTATAAATTAAGTGCATAATTGTTTTGTGTATAAATGTCATGC